TTATTTTATTGTAATTCTCACCAGCACATAGCAGACCCTGGTAATTATCATGAGAACAGTCGCTTTCATGTGATGGTGATGTTGGACAGAGGTGAATCTGAGACTCATTTCCTCTGCACTGAATCTCTTGTGTCCACATCTGAGCGTCTCCTTTGTCGAAAGCAGCTGCTCCCAGCACCTGTACAGGAGCCCCACAGTCCAGCTCTCTACACACAACCTCTGCATCCTGCTGGTCAAAGGCAGCATCACACACTGACATCCATGTCTGATCATGAAGTATCTCTAACCTCCCAGAGCAACTGGAGTTTCCAATAAGCTTGACATCTGAAGTAATACAAGAGAAGAAACGTTTAAAAAAAAAATTTAAATGCAATTGACAATTGTTTTCATACACTTTTGTTATCTCAATGCATAATGCCTGTCATTGCTGGTCAACCACAAAGTAACATTTACAGTGAAAAGAAGGGTTAATTTAAAGGATTAGTTCACAGAGAGTCCATCGCAGTCCATATTATTATTTTCACCAGACCATATCAATAACAAATTCTCAATTGATAATTAATCATTATTTTTGCGCATATCATTGTTTTATTTGTGAAGTAGCCATTTGCGGAAGGATTTAAGACCAAGCGGAATCCTCTGTCGGCTGCCATTTTCCATTTCTGAAGTTAATTGGCAACCCTAATGATCACGTAATTATCTTTTGACTCCCCTGACAACGGCACCTTGCTCAAAAAAAACAAACAAAAAAAACTCAAGTTGTTGGAGATATGCAAGCAACAAATAATAGAGGAAAAATGGATAATAGAAAGTGCGAAGGCGGCACTGAAAAGGCCAGCAAAAAAAAAATAATAAGAAAAAATAAGTGGGCCAGTCTAAGGCATGAAACTCCAGGGCTGAAAATGAGTCCCACTCCGGCCTTAAATGAGCCTATAACACAGCGAGTTTTTTATTTTTAATTTTGTCGAATAAAAACAGTCACACATACAAAACCAAAGAATTGAATGAGCCAATGACAGAGCCTTTTTTTTGTGCCACTTAGCCACTGTGCGCGCACACACACACACAAATAAACATGCACACAGACTTCCAAGTCAGATCAAAGTCCTACTTCTACTGCAAGATTTGTTGATGAAAATGTCAAAAAAATGTCTGGAACATGCTACTTGTTTGGTTTATTGTTTATTCTTACTTGTTTGGAACCATTTGCTTCCATTTTACTTTTTTTAGTTATTAAAATGTGATGTTTTTGTTAGAAATAAATGATTACTCTGTCTCCTACTTTGTCTTTTCCTTATAGCATGGTCAGATTTGTCTTTAAGCATATATTGGCATCTTGGTATAGTCTCACCCAACAAAATTTTTTATTTTTATTTTTTTAATTCTACACATTTTTTTAATTCTTCTTTTAGCATGATAAAATCTAAAACTTAAGAGGTTAAGTTCATTACAACAATGGTTTATAGATTTCAGCCACTGAGTACTACAGCCATATAGTGGCTATTGATAATTTTGATATTGTCATATGTCACCACGTCAACAAAATTTTAGGTTTTGGCTGTCTGAACTTACTGGAATGATTTTTATTTTACTGAAATATAAGAAATATTAAATATAACATAAAAAATAAGCATATTTTACATAAAAATATTAAACTTTAATAGGTCAATAAATTAAACAAATTACAAAAAATCAATTAATTGAAGTTTTTATTTTATTGAAGACAGTGATATGACATTTATAAAAATAAAAAAAAAATCGCAGTAAATTGTGGGATCACAGCTGAGACCCTTGTGCCCAAATTTTGTCCACGAAGGACAAATTAAGGGCTTCCATACGAAGGATGCTTGAGGGTTAGTTCACCCAAAAATGAAAATTAGCCCATCTTTTACTCACCCTCAAAGCATCGACTAATACATGGGCATTTTGGTCGAGACCACTCCATACCCTGTCTCTATGAGGATTGTCCTTGCACCCTCAGGACATGGGGTGCATTAAGGACACATTTGTCAAGGCATCATTCCCAGGCAACCAAGCCAGGCAACATCCTTTCGTTCACGTGCATAGTCTGTAACTCATGCTCTTTTGACAACGAAAAACAGTATTTTATACATATTGGCAGCCATTTAATAAAGTTTGAAACTGTGCCTTGTGTTTTTGAGGGTTGTGATTACAAGACCAACATATATACAACGTTTCACAGCCACAAGAGTAGAAAACACAACCCACATTCATTGGAAGATTTCAAGACCACTGTTCTTCATCAACACCAAAACAAGACGGATGAAGACAGTGACTTTGTTCAGGATGAAAATGACTGTGGCTCTGTCTTTGAGGAGAAGGATGACTTGCAAAAAGTCATTACTAAGAGAGTGGGGTTGCTTCTCCTGAAAATGGAAAGCATTTTTAATGTCTCCAATACATGCTTAGATGAACTAGTAGAGGAACTTCATTTCCTTACAGCATCTGCATCTGGTCCTGTTATTAAAGACATTATACTGAGCACTTTGAGAAAACATGGCTGTACTTTTGAAGATTCAGTGATATCAGAACTGGTCAAAGACCTTTGCCAGCAAAGCCCTGTCTGTGCTGCTTTACGAGTGGATGGGCCTTTAAGCAGTCAGTTCAGGAGAGCACAATTTAGAATGGAACATCTCTCACCAACTGAACCAGTTGAGTACATACTTGATAGTACTGAGAATAAAACATTTCAGTATGTACCGATCCTCCCATTATTATCTGAACTTTTGAACAAAAGACACATTCAAAAAACAATATTAGAGAACAAAAGGTCATCTGATGTCTCTTCTGGGTACAAATCATTTCATGATGGATCTTTCCTAAGAGAAAACAGCTTTTTATGTGAAGGTGAACATAAACTCCCACTCATCCTTTACATCGATGACTTTGAAGTATGCAACCCTCTGGGAACATCCCGCAAAAAGCATAAAGTCACAGCTGTGTACTGGGTGTTTGCAGACATACCTGCCACATTGAGATCTACACTGACTTCCATTTATTTAACCATTTTGTGCAAGGCAAATGATGTGAACCAGTATGGCTATGCAAAAGTTTTAGACCCACTGATCAAAGATTTGAAGTCCTTTGAAGATAATGGTATTTTTGTTCCAAGTCTGGGCAAAGTGGTCAAGGGCACTGTACTTGCTGTAGTTGCTGACAATCTTGGCGCTCACTCAATAGCTGGGTTTGTGGAAAGCTTTTCAGCTTCACATTTCTGTCGCTTTTGCATTGGAGAACGGTCACAGATCCAGAAGCATGAAGTAGCAGAAGGACTGTTTCCTCTGCGGACTAAGTCCAACTATGCCATGCATGTCAAAGCAGCATTGTCTGATCTTGCAAAAGCTCATCACTGTGGAGTTAAAAGACAGTGTCCCATCTCAGACAGGCTCAGCCACTTTCATGCTACATCAGGTTATCCCCCTGATGCTTTGCATGATTTGCTTGAAGGGATTGTACCTGTAGAAATATCACTCTGTCTTGATGTGTTAATCAGGAAGAAGTACATCTCTCTTGAGGAGCTCAACCATTCCATCCGTTGGTTTCCTTACAAGTGGAGTGACAAAACAAACTGTCCACAACCCATTGCCCCAAATTTCACATCACGAAAAAGTGTTGGAGGTAACGCACACGAAAACTGGTGCTTGTTGAGAATGATACCACTCATGATTGGTGACAAAGTCCCAGAAGATGAGCCTGCTTGGGAGGTTTTGATGACACTGAAAGATGTTGTTGAGCTTGTCATGGCTCCCCTCCACACAGATGAGACAATAGGATACATGCAAAGTAAGATCTCAGAACACCGTTACAGATATTTGGAAGTGTTCCCAGAGGAGACAGTGAGACCAAAACACCACTTTCTTGAGCACTATCCTCTGCTTACAACTGTTTATGGGCCACTTGTACATTTCTGGACCATGCGTTTTGAAGCCAAACACCGGTTCTTTAAAAGGGTTGTGAGGCAGACTGGGTGTTTTAGAAACATTCTCAAGACAATGGCAAGAAAACACCAATCGATGATTGCCTATCATAACCATGATTGCGACAATCAAAGGCCAGTGCTGTCAGTGTCACAGAGGACTCAAGTGGCAGTTGAGGTTCTAAAAGACAGCATTAAGGAGGCCTTTGCAAGGAAGTTCCCTGGGGAAGAGTTTGTGAACATGACAAATAAAGCAACCATTTTAGGCACAGACTATAATATTGGGATGATGTTGCCCTTTGGATCAACAGGAGGCCTACCTGACTTTGGAGAAATCCGGCAAATAATCATTGTGCACGAAAGTCCTGTCTTTGTGCTGAAGTTGTTTAGTGGCTGGTACTGTGAACACCTGAGGAGCTTCCAAGTAGAGCCAACAGGAGAGACAGAAATCCTTAAACATTCTGAATTGAAAGAAACGTACCCCTTGGCAGCATATAATACAGCAGGTGGTCGTATGGTGTCCCTTAAGCACTTCATTTGCACATCAGAGTAAGTGTAATGGGTTCATTATTTGTGTTTATCATATCAAGTACAGTTATTGAGAAAAAAAAAACAATTACTTCACAAAAAAACACTAAGTTTGAAGGGATGCCCACACAAACAACTATTTTGCCAGTCTTTTGTATTTATTACAGCTTTTATGTTTTTGCACACCTACCTTGATTCTACAGTTTCTATGCATTATGCATGATGAGAATGTTATGATTTAAGGTTGCTTTTATTACAAAGAAAGCCCCCCCCCCCCCCAATATTCTCTTCTCATCTCCTTTCACCTCCTCTATCTTCTCTTCTGTCTTTCTGTCCTCATCTCCTACTTCTTAAGTTAATAATAACCATCCAAGGTTGTTTATTCAAATTTCCACTGAACCAAATCTCAATTTATTTTTTTTGGTAGAAGAAACTTGAAGCAAACCTATGTAAGTAACTATGCAACTATTAATAACCTGTCTCAATTTTTTTTTTCTCTGTCTCTACAGCTGAGGAAACACACCCCAAACAAACAATGGCAGTCCAGTTGAGAGTCATTTTAGAAGAACACAACATTCAAAAGTTGACACTTTCAACAGGAATTCCTGATACAGTGGAAGATCTTGTTTCCATAGTTACTAAAACTTTCCAACTGTATGGAGAAATTGGACTACTATACCAAGACAAAGACTTTGACAATCAGTTTTTCAGTCTCACCTCAAGTGCTGACTTACACAACAAGGCCACAATTAAAGTGATCCAAAAAGACCCAGTCATCACCCTTGACCTAAACCCAGTATATCAATCAGAACCATCATCTACACTGAGTTCTCCGACTTCAGTGAACACCCATCCTGCAGGTAATACTGAAACGGACATCTCCCCTGCAGATGATGATGCATCCTCACATGTGTCCGACTGCGCATCGTCAAGTTCCAAGGACACCATTATTTTACCTGATTCATGTCGCCCTGCTGCATGGCCAGTGCCATTTCAAGTACCGCAGTTTTCCCGAGACATAGAGCTAATCCTCGCAGAGGCAAACAAATCATATCATGCCACTGGAAAACACTTCATGGATGCCCATGTTAAATCATCAATAATGCATGACCTTTCAAAAGTGATTTTTTCCTACACAGCCTATCCATCAAGTCAGCAGATTCTCTCAGTGGCTGAAGCTCTGGTTGCCAAGTTTCCATGTCTTAGGGAGCCGGGATCGTTTGCAGGTTTATATGGCTGGCAACAGCGCATAAAATATAAGATGCACAATTACCGTGCCAAGCTAAAATCTCGAAAATATGCTTTCCCGGAAATCGAAGTCAACACACTGAGGAGGAAGCATCCAGCTGATGCAGTCCCATCAAAAAACGTAAAAAAGCCCAAAAAAGCTGAAGTTAATTACCTCCCTCCACACCCTATTGGCGAAAGCCAAGACACACTGGAGGAGGAGAGGCTTGAATTACTTGATGAAGTGAAGAAGAAAAACAATGCAAAGATAATCGCAGATAAAATGAGTAAAACCTTCTCAAGCCGAAGGGTCGAAGTGGTGACCCTCAGCCCCTCTGTGAATGTGTTTAAAGAAAGGTGGCCAGCATTATTCAGTAAGGCTCAGGTGAGAATGTTTGATCATTTTTCCCTCCCACCAGGTAACATTCATGTGGTTACTTTGAGATCTGGTCTGTCATTTAAAGATTCCTTTTTTTGTCCCTTTACTTGCTCACTAGATCAAGGAAGAGTTCTGTCGTATAACAACAGTTTCCTTAGAAGAGAAATTCATGATGAAGCTTGATGGGTACACACCAGGTCTCTTGCAGCTAATGCGTGCTAAAGGAGGAGCTGCTGGTTCCAAGATACGCCCTCTGCTGGACACTGTAAATGACGTATGTTGTTTGACTTTGTACAAAGTTGAGCTCCAACTTGACAAACTACTACTTTGGTTTTATCAATCTGTGAAATGTTTAAAAATGTTTTAGTTTTTAAAGAATTCAGTCTTAGTGCACTGTAAAACCCGACAAGTTCAGAGAACTCAACTTTTGTGGTAACCGATTACCTCAAAACTTTTGAGTAAACCAAGTGCCTTGGCTTAAACCACTTAATTAAGTGATTAATTAAGTGCTGATTGAGCATTAGTGATGAACAGCTGCTGTTAACAAACAGAATCACTGAATGAAAGACAAACACAAGAACTACAACAACTGACTTCAGCCACAGCCTCAGATGAAATCAACTGAAATAAAAGACATGAAATCTCTCAAGATCTGATTAAATAACCCCACAAACAGCATCACCAGCTCCACTTATTCAGAACCAGACTGACTTTATTCCTGTCAGACATCTACAGAACATCTTATTGAGAATTAACAAAAGTTTAGATGTTGATTTATTTTCATTTGAAGTAACCATGTTAGAGATCAGTGTCTACTTTAGTTGGGCTCTTGACCCTTAACTTTTGAGTTATTTTTTTTCTTTCTGGCTGTTGTAACCATGTGTTCTTGAAACATATTTGTTATAACTCAAAAGTCCAGAGAAAATATCATCAGGTGTTGGTTGTTATATATTGATGATGATAATCATCAATTAGTGACCAGACATAGCTCAGAATCTAATCTCTGATTAAGTCGATGTTGTATTGATTATAGTAAAAGTGATTCTAAAAGCCAGTAGTTCTGTGATAATCAGTTAATATAAAAGACTTTCCAAACAGTTTATGTACATAAAACTTGAATCTACGATAGCAATTAGTCTCACACAGACATCAATTATCAGCATATGAACCTCAACAATGGTGACCAAAAAAAAAAAAAAAATTCATGCAGCAATGCATTCTGGGAGCCATGGATGAGTTTTGTACTATGCCATTACCCAGCATACACTACTGCATGATTTTTTTTTATGGTCACCATTGTTGAGGTTCATATGCTGATTCTTGATGTCTGTGTGAGACTGCTTGTCACCATAGATTAAAGTATTATCTACATAAACTGTTTAGAATGTTCTTTATATTCACTGATTATCACAGAATAACTTCTACTATAACCAATACAACATTGATTTAATCAGCAATTATGCTCTGAATGGGATCAATCCACTAACCGAGGATTGTCACCATAAATATATTACAGCCATGCTACTACATATATATATATATATATATATATATAAATAAAACAGACAGAAAAGAAACTAAGACAGAAAACAAGAGCCCAGTGCCCAACTAAAGCAGACACTAATCTCTAACATGGTTACTTCAAATGAAACTAAATCAACATCTAAATCTTAGTTAAATCTCAATAAGATCTTCTGTAGATGTCTGACATAAAGTGAATAAGTGGAGCTGGTGATGCTGTTTGTGGGGTTGTTTAGATCTTAAGAGATTTCATGTCTTTTATTTCAGTTGAGTTCTTGTGTTTGTCTTTCATTCAGTGATTCTGTTTGTTAACAGCAGCTGTTCATCACTAATGCTCAATCAGCACTTAATTAATCACTTAATTAAGTGGTTTAAGCCAAGGCACTTGGTTTACTCAAAAGTTTTGAGGTAATCGGTTACCACAAAAGTTTTGAGTTCTCTGAACTTGTCGGGTTTTACAGTGTGTATGTAAATCGCTGGGTTCCACTAACAGTCTTTTCACTAAATTGTGTCTCCCTACAGTCACAGAGCATTGAGAAAAAAAGGGATGCAGTTGTCTGCTGCCTCATTGGCTACCTGGGTGAAAGACAAGAAGATCTTTTCCATGACTGCCAGGTATGTCATATTAATAACAAGTGACTGATTAACTCAATGGATCCTCATGTCTTCCTCTGCTCTGCTCTGCTCTCCTTGTCTCTCATCTATTCCTTTCATTTCTTCTGCTCTCCCCTCTTCTTCTCAGCTCTACTCGGCTCTCCTCTGGTATACCCTCTTCTCCCCTTCTCCTTTCGTCTTCTGTCCACTTCCCTCTGCTCTCCTTTACTCTGCAGGATAAACTGAAATATATTGGAACGTCATCTTAAATAATATATGTAAATTAAAAATCTTTTTAACATGTAGGAATGTGAGGACCACACAGACAAAACAATGAAGGTGATTGTGAAGCACAACATCATGGCTGAGGAGGATCCATCAGATGTGTCTATTGTGATTGAGGGAAACACAGTGATGGAAGGATGTGGAAGTCGAACAAAGGCGTGTGTTCTGCTGATGGGACTGATATATGCCCTCAACCTTGAATATCCAAAGCAGCTGAAGAACACGTTTGAAACTTTTCAAAAACTTTTTTTGGAGCTTGACGGGGCGAAACTACTGAAGAAGGTCCACAGCCTCAAAAGTAAGCTCATGCAATAGACACACACACACACACACACACACACACAGACACACACACACACACACACCATTGCTCTGACTTCCCCAGATTAACAGAAAAGGAACACTAGAAAGTGGCCGGCCTGGTCAATACCACTGAATGTAGCCTGAAGAAATTTGATCTCTTCCTCTATACCCTCCTCTTCCCCTCACCCTTAGTTTGTTTTAAAGATGTTGGTGTTCACTTGTTCTATCCTTATCTAGATGTTTGATACTGTACGTGCACAGGAACAATGTTGTAGAGTTTCCGTGTGTGCTTTTGACTGTTAAAATAGAATAAGTGGCCTCTGAAAGTGTTACAGTATTTGAAGCTGTAAGCTTAGCGAACAGGTTAATTCCTTCAAATATTGTGTGAAGATGTTGTATTGCACTTTATTCTGTGTTTGGATCATTGCTGCATGTAAACAAGGCGGTTCAGTTATTTGTTGTATAAATGCACCTGCAGATTTGGTAAGTCACTGTTATGTAAAGTTAAAGAGTTTGGATACAAAAAAATCCTCATGTGACTGGACACCTCTAGGAGCTCTGCTCTGATCTTCTCACTTCTCATTTCTTCTGCTCTCCTTTCTTCTCTTCTCTGCTCTGATCTCCTTTTCCGTTCATTTCCTCTTGTCTTCTCTGCTCTCCTCTTCTCTTCTATCCTCTGCTCTGCTCACTTCTTCTCTTCACTGCTCTGATCTCCTCACCTCTCCCCTCATTTCTTTTGCTCTCCTCTCTTCTCTCCTCACTTCTCTTCTCTGCTCTGATCTCCTTTTTCTTTTTGAGCAATGTGGGAAGATGCGTTTGTCATCTAGAAACAACATTTGAAGATGTTAGTTTAGTGAGTTATATAACATGTTCATACCTTGAAAAGCTGTGTGAAGCTGTTTATTGCACTTTATTCTGTGTTTTTTGATCATTTTATGGATTAAAAACAGTAAAATTTTCATCTTCTGAAAGTCTTTTTTTTTTTTTGTGGTGGGGGGTGGGAATCTTACATTCTCTGAATAAGTAATAGTTACTCACTGATATTAATTATTTTTGAATAGTGATTATTTGGGGTAAATTTTACCTTCTCTGAATAAGGAATAGGTACTACCTGATATTAATTAACTTTGAATAGTAATAATTAGGTATTAGCTACTTAGCGATCAAGAGTAAATTTTACCCAATTTTAATGAGTAAGTAAAAGTATGAAATGTGAGGTATATATAACCCAATTTATTTTAGTATTTAATAGCTTTTTAGTTCATTTATTTTCTACTCACAACAGGGAATTAAATCTACCCAAAAAAAGTGGATGCAAATTGTTACCTCAGATTTATTGGGTAAATTCTACATGTTGCTTTTTACAGTGCAATTGACAATTGTTTTCATACACTTTTGTTATCTCAATGCATAATGCCTGTCATTGCTGGTCAACCACAAAGTAACATTTACAGTGAAAAGAAGGGTTAATTTAAAGGATTAGTTCACAGAGAGTCCATCGCAGTCCATATTATTATTTTCACCAGACCATATCAATAACAAATTCTCAATTGATAATTAATCATTATTTTTGCGCATATCATTGTTTTATTTGTGAAGTAGCCATTTGCGGAAGGATTTAAGACCAAGCGGAATCCTCTGTCGGCTGCCATTTTCCATTTCTGAAGTTAATTGGCAACCCTAATGATCACGTAATTATCTTTTGACTCCCCTGACAACGGCACCTTGCTCAAAAAAAACAAACAAAAAAAACTCAAGTTGTTGGAGATATGCAAGCAACAAATAATAGAGGAAAAATGGATAATAGAAAGTGCGAAGGCGGCACTGAAAAGGCCAGCAAAAAAAAAATAATAAGAAAAAATAAGTGGGCCAGTCTAAGGCATGAAACTCCAGGGCTGAAAATGAGTCCCACTCCGGCCTTAAATGAGCCTATAACACAGCGAGTTTTTTATTTTTAATTTTGTCGAATAAAAACAGTCACACATACAAAACCAAAGAATTGAATGAGCCAATGACAGAGCCTTTTTTTTGTGCCACTTAGCCACTGTGCGCGCACACACACACACAAATAAACATGCACACAGACTTCCAAGTAAGATCAAAGTCCTACTTCTACTGCAAGATTTGTTGATGAAAATGTCAAAAAAATGTCTGGAACATGCTACTTGTTTGGTTTATTGTTTATTCTTACTTGTTTGGAACCATTTGCTTCCATTTTACTTTTTTTAGTTATTAAAATGTGATGTTTTTGTTAGAAATAAATGATTACTCTGTCTCCTACTTTGTCTTTTCCTTATAGCATGGTCAGATTTGTCTTTAAGCATATATTGGCATCTTGGTATAGTCTCACCCAACAAAATTTTTTATTTTTATTTTTTTAATTCTACACATTTTTTTAATTCTTCTTTTAGCATGATAAAATCTAAAACTTAAGAGGTTAAGTTCATTACAACAATGGTTTATAGATTTCAGCCACTGAGTACTACAGCCATATAGTGGCTATTGATAATTTTGATATTGTCATATGTCACCACGTCAACAAAATTTTAGGTTTTGGCTGTCTGAACTTACTGGAATGATTTTTATTTTACTGAAATATAAGAAATATTAAATATAACATAAAAAATAAGCATATTTTACATAAAAATATTAAACTTTAATAGGTCAATAAATTAAACAAATTACAAAAAATCAATTAATTGAAGTTTTTATTTTATTGAAGACAGTGATATGACATTTATAAAAATAAAAAAAAAATCGCAGTAAATTGTGGGATCACAGCTGAGACCCTTGTGCCCAAATTTTGTCCACGAAGGACAAATTAAGGGCTTCCATACGAAGGATGCTTGAGGGTTAGTTCACCCAAAAATGAAAATTAGCCCATCTTTTACTCACCCTCAAAGCATCCTAGGTGTATATGACTTTCTTCTCTCAGACGAATCCAATCTGAGTTATATTACAAATTTTCCTTGCTCTTCCAAGCGTTAGAATGGGAGTAGGTGGGTGTTTTTGTTCAACAGTCCAAAAGTAGTCAAAAAAGCGCGCGCATCCATAATAGAACATGCCTCACACGGCTCTGGGGGTTGAATAAAGGCCTCCTGTAGCAAATCGATGCGTTTTTGTAAGAAAAATGTCCATATTTAAAATGGTATAAATAAATATTTCTCACTTCCGCTGTCATACGTGCAAGCCGTTCCGCTCGGATGACGTCGGACATATGTGCAACACACGTGCCTTTCTCGCAAGTTTGTTAACAGGAGCAAAGGAAGCAAAGTTTCCTTACTTTAGCAAAGGAAAACCAGTCTCATCTTGGCTTATATCGAAATTCTCCAACATCTGTCTTTACAAATCCTCATTTTGTGCTTCTAATTGGTGACCGGCTTTTTGTTTTGCTCTCTCTCCTCTGTGCTTCCGCGTTCGTCACTTCTCACCGGCGCGTGCGCAACACGTACATCCTACGGCATCGACCAACAACAGTTAGCAGAAGTGAGAAAAAAGTTGAGCTGTGTGAGGCACGTTTTATTATGGATGGATGTGCTTTATTTGACTACTTTTGGACTGTTGAACAAAAACACACCCGCTTACTCACGTTCCAACGATTGGAAGAGCAAGGAAAATTTTTAATATAACTCAGATTGGATTCGTCTGAAAGAAGAAAGTCATATACACCTAGGATGCTTTGAGGGTGAACAAAACATAATTTTCATAACCCTTTAGCAAGTCTCCAAAGGTGTTTTCTGAAATCACACAGATGAGGTTATTTAACATTTTGGACAAAGAATGTTTGAGGATTTGATTGCATGAGGTGTTTCATTCGTGTTTATTTCCAGGCACCATTAGTAAGGTTTGCACACTGAACTGACTCTGGGTGGGAACCCATTTCGTACTTGATTATTACGGCCACAGTATTTGATCTATTTAAAAAACAAAAATTGTCTATTCATAACACGGAATGCATCTGAGAGAAGATTTCAGAACTAGAAAATATTTTAGCAAAGATTAAAACTCAGTCTTGGCAGTATACAGCTTGGTTGCACATTACAATCGAGTGTTTTACATGTAACTGCAGCTTGTTATTTTTTTAAATAAATGAACCCTGAGAATTCACATTTTACCATACAAATGTAGCACATTTTATATTTATGAACGTGCATTTCTCTGAGCCAAAAAAACAACCATCTGAGAGAAGATTTCAGAACTAGAAAATATGTTAGCAAAGATTAAAACTCTTGGCAGTGCACAGCTTGGTTGCACATTACAATAGAATGTTTAACATGTAATTGCAGCTTGTTATTTGTAAATAAATGAAGCCTGAGAATTCACATTTTACCATTCAAATGCAGCACATTTTTATTTATGAACACACATTTCTCTGAGCCAAAAGAAACAACAAGGCACAAAATTTCCATTCTGTCAGTCTTTCATTTGGGCAAGTGCTGTTGAATCGACATTGTTAGCATGCTGAGATGTAATCACACTTTGCATATTGTTCATGATTATGCATGCTGTGCATAGTTGCTGAAAGCAGAGGGCTGCACAAAGAAACCTGCTTTCTGTCAGCACTGAAGTACGGCAACAACCGGTGGATCCAGGTGCTCACCATGGAAAACTCATTACAAAGAAAATTATCTATAAACAGAGTTTTTAAAAAAGCATGCACTTAAAACAGAATATGACGTTTGCTTACTATTATACATTTATTTTAAAATATAATGCTACAAACTTAAAAAGAAATAAATATTATAAATAAACTTTTTTTCCTCATTTAAAACTGGAAATAGTCAATAAAACTTGCATAGTTTTACCCAACATTTGTATTTAGAGTATGCTGGTTTAGCAACAAGCTAACATCAAACTATTCCATGAAGAGAAAAAATGCTACCTTGTTTATCATATTGTGTGATGTGAGACGTGAGAGTTCATATCTCACATTGGCAAGCAGCACCTGTTTCAAACCACTTTACTGATGCCAAGAAGGTTGGCTGCAAATCCCACAGATAAGTGGAGATAATTTGCTAATGAAGCAGCTGTATACATGATATACATTTATATGAACAGCATGCATACATGCTTAAGGGCATTTAAACCAGAAAATGTTAACCCAGGGCCTTGTTTAATCCAAGATTAATAACAACATTGATTAGATAAGTGCAGCATTCACATAGCATGTGACCTGTTTAATAATCGGTTGTCTGTATGGGGGAATGTTGTCATGTATATCTGCTTCTGAAATACACTGTAAAAATAATACAGTATCTTCATCAGATCAGCGCAGTTTCTGTTGCTAACATTTACCTGAATCGAACTTTAAACGTTTTTTTGAAGAAGATGAAAGCTGCAATGTGGAAGATGTTCAGCACAGTTTAATCACATCAACAATAGCTACTAAAATATGTACATCATTGCAAATCATGCATCGCTCATCTCATAAAATCTCATATTAATTCTCTAAGAATGAATTGCATCCCGTGTAAGCATTGTTTGTATGTAGAGTAAATGTAAAGTAAATCAGCTAACTGCCCAAATGTGCCTACAAAATTTGTGCTAAACACAACATTTGCAAAGTGTGATTCCCCAGTTTTGCAGGCCATACATGAGTACTGGGTTGTGGAGAATGAAGGAAACCACCACTTCGTGTCCCTATTTTCAGGCAGATACTGTGACTGTGTTTTGGATTGGCTGTAAGAACAACTTAGATGTTCAGTATGTCATAATAGGGCTGCACAATTCATTGTATTTTAATGGTGATTGAGATTTCTGTTTCTCTCCATTTCCATTTGACATTTATGTTATCTTACAATGGTAATAAGCCTCAATGCGCTTTTATGCTTGGGGTTGCGAGATGTCAAGAGTTTAAAGGCCTTTTCACACCAAGAACGATAACTATAAAGATGACTAAGATAACTAGAGTCCACACCAG